CTTCACCCCCTCTGCGCACAGCAACTGTAAATCAAGAATCGTGAGAAGGAAATCCCAACCTGAGATCTTTAATCATTTTTTTTAAAGAGCGACCAAATAAAATCTGAGATTCAACATTTTATATCAAACATAAAGTCAAACATTTAAAAACTAGAGAATAAGCATTTTCTGCAAAAAAAAAAAAATACAGCGTGAACGCTTGATGCTGAAAGGTTTTTTTGCAGAGAAAACAGATGCACAAAACATTTATAATTTTCTTGTAAAACAGCCACACACAAAACAAAAGCTGAAATGAGAAGAAAATGATAAGTTAAGCTGCTTTTCTACTCACTTCGATTGAATCCAGCAAAAAGAAGCAGCAATTTGCTGAATTAAGCAGGTGAAATGATGGATTTTGTTGACAAAAGCACAAGTTTAAGCTAAAAAGTAGCTTAAGTTGCAGAAAACTGTTGGAAGAAGAAAAAGCTTGAATTAACAGAAAGAAGCTGCTAGAAGCACAAAACAATCCTTTAAGAGAACAGCTGAAAAGTGTGGGGAAGAAAAGCTATAATTAGCAACAAAAAAAGAAGCTGACAGCAGCTAAAAAAAGCAAAAAGAAGTAAAAAGAAGTTATAAAACAGAACCAGAGTAAAAGGTGAAAATTCCAGGCACAGTTGAACTACTTTGAAATATTTTGTTGAAGACAGCTCCATTCATTTTCAGTCAGATCAAAAATGACAGAAAAGGCCAAATATCTCAAAAGTTCTAAATTGCTGATAGCTGGAATGTCCTCAAGGAAGTGAAAAGTTTTGATACAAACTAATAAAAAGTATATAAAGTGTAAAGAGAACCAACATTAAAAGAAATAACAAAGTGTTCATGCACATTTAAATTTCTTTGTGGAACATCAAAAACTGTTTTGTAAACAGTAAATGTAAAAAAAATTACACAAATCTTTTTAAAGTTTACATATGTCATTCGAGACAACAAATGTCAAATATTTCCAAATTATCTTTATCATTGTCTTCTTGTTTTTATTCAAACGGATGCAGAACCATAATTATGTTTGTTCAAGTCTCTCTGAATCATCAGCAGTGATTCTCATTATTTCTTCTCCTTTACATCTGCCTCGTCCGACTGATAAAAGGGAGGAACATCTTCCGTTTCCTCAGAAGCTGGAAAACGMCCCCACACTCTGCTGGCCCTCCGGACTCGAGCGTGGAGAATCTTCCCTCTGAAGCATCAGAGCGTGCTGCGGCACGTGAGCCAGCTGGAGGCTCTGGTGGAGCAGGGTGATGGTGCTGTTTGCAATAAGAGGAGGGGGGCACGTGGGAGTGTGTGGACCGAAAAAAAAAAGTTAATATTGCTGCAGTGACGTGACCTCTGTCTGTGGCAGTGAGCAGTCCAGTGTCCCCTTCCTTTTCTCCTGGGTGCGAAAAAATGACTTGAAACAAAACAACGGTGAGTCTTGCCTGGATAATGAGGCCCGTTGTTATTATTTCCAGTATTTTCCTGCTGTGGCCAGGTTCGCTCTTGATTCAAAGAGAAAGTGGCTGCAAGCACAGAACAGACAACCATGCCAGCTGCTTGATGGTATTATTCAATTTCAGTCCAAAGTGGGACTTTAGCCAAAGAAGCATTTCCAGGATTATATGTTTAACATGCAATAGAGCAATCGGCCTTTGGAGAAAAGCGCACTCAAGCACCGTGATGCACTCTCCTGTCTTCTTCACAGGCCTTATCAGCGCTGAGCCACTAGTTGATCTTCAGGCACCTTTTTTGTAGACATATCTTTAATTATCCTTTTCAGTATTAAATGCCAGTCCCACAGACAATAATATCAGCGAACACCCTTTCTAGCTTGGAGGACAYTGAGTGATGGAAAACGTTGCGCGCTTTGAGGAGAAGATAGGGGCTTGTGATGGATTGATGCTGTGGTTTTTCCAAACGGGCTTCTTGCAAAAGATTTGTCATTCTGAACAAACGCTACACAAACACTCCCATTGTGCAGTTGGCCTTATTAAACAGACGTGCAAAGAGCCAGAGTTCATAAATACAGTATGTAAATTATTTTCTTTTCCACACAAAATACACCGTTTTTTTTTTTAAATTTCACCTTCATTCATTGTTTGGTAGTAACGTGTAGTCTGACTTGACGTGCACACAAAGGTTTTGACTCTTCTTGGCTTCAGGTAATGTCACATTGAATAAAAGCAGGAGCATGTTTAGAGGAATACATTGGAAAATTTTTGAATCAAACTTCACAAACGTTAGACTGAAGTCACTATATGTTTTRTATGTTTAGCAGCAGATTTAAATGCCTTTTTTAAACTAATGTTTTTAAAATGAATCTGAAATCATCTAAACCCTAAAGAGTTTGCMGTTCAAGCAAATGTTTTACTGATTTATCCTTTAATTTTGGGAGGGTTTGAGGGGTTTCCTGTTTGATTTGGATTGTGTCTCTGCTTTTGCAGATGATGTGATTCTTTTATGTAATGAAGACCTTCAAAAGACACTATCACAATTTGCAACTGAGTATGAAGCTGTGAAGAAAATCGTCTTAACAGCTTCACTTCTTGTCCCCTGATTACCAATCCCAGAGCAGGGGCAGAGCCAGAGGGGTTGTTGGGGTGGCACCTGTCGGGCCACCCCAGGTGCCTCACCCAAATAAATGACAAGTGGATCGGGATCTTGTTGTTTTTATACTACTGTACTATGTACATTTTCAACTGTGTATGTTTAAACATGGCTAAATTATAGCCCTTTGTAAACTTAGCATTAGCAGTTAGCTTAACTTGGGATTAGCATCGACATTCGGCATGTGATCATTCTTAGTTAGGCTACTCCACAACAAATTTAATCTCAATAAGTCTTTTTAAAAAGTTTGATTATAACCTTTTAAAGTTAGCTATGGTGGCCATCTTGAATTACGATTAGCATTTAGAATTGGGTAAGGATCATTTTTGGCTATTTCTACAAAGCTTTGTATGTTTAAAAATGGCTGAATAATAGGTTGAATTGTGACTAGCCTTTTTTTGATCATTCTTAGCTATGATCACACAAAACTTCAGCTGTTTCTTAAAACAGCTGAATTAAAGTCATTTGGAATTAGTCGTGGCAGCCATCTTGATTTTTTTTAAATCTAGAGTGCTTTTCTCTTTTCTTTATTTATATGTGCCCCCCTAACAAACACCTTGTGCCACCCCTTGTAAAATAGTCTAGCTCCGCCCCTGTCCTACACCCAAAAGTGYTGAATTTATGAAGGGTTTGTACAAAGCTGTAATAATGGGATATTTACAGGGTTTTGTTTTTGTTTTCTGTTCTGGGTTAATCATCATCAACTAATAGAATAATTGACAACTCAGCACAAATGCACTGATTGTATTTGGGTATGTTCTCTTTTTTATGTACTAAACAAAAGCTGTTTTCTTAAGGATTTTTTTTCCTTGTTTACTTTAGCTGAGAGAAAACAGAGTTCAGTGAGGATAATTTGTCCTGTCAGAAAAATTTAACAAGTGCAAGACTCGACTGTGAAAAGCGGCAGAACAACACAGAGCCTGCAGCTCTCCTCCTTTACGCTGCGGCGGTGTGGATTTGAATTTGCTGCCAGTTCTGATTCCACACTTGACTTCCTTCTGACTGACAGGTTTGCCTAAACACAGATTTTGCTCCTGCGTCCCCCTGACTCCTTTGAATATTGACTCGTCACCTAGATTGACAACATAACTCAACGGGTGAGGSAGAATGTCTGAGCTGAGGTAAGAGGAAGAAATTGTAGAATGGGGGGAAAAATAACAAAAAAACAAGCRAGAGGGAAGAATTTGCTGTATTTTGAAAAAATAAAACCCACAGGCATTATGTCATAAAGCTCAGAAGACAGCGCTAACAGTAGAGCAGCAGTTTTGAAAAGGTCTCACTGSAGACAGGAGGGACACTTTCGCTTTACTCAGAGTAAAATGTCACCCTGCAAGTATGGGAGGGAACAGTGCTAACAGTAAAGCTAAAAGGCCAGCACTGACTTAAACACCATCACTACAATTGTACAACTCGGTTAAATTTGTGCTCATTTCAAAGCAAATAGAACAAGTGGAGCTCTTTAAATCAGCAGTGGATCGCTGCGTGAGACCGCTATTACCGTTATAGCCCATTAATCCCCAATTAAGTGGCTTAATTTGCCACACGCAGAGTAAAAAACATACCCATTAATGACAACAAGTGTAGCTTTTCAGGCAGGCTCCTGATGAACTTCTTTGTCACATCTCCTTCTACCTGGTCTCAACAGACAGGCCTGTAATTAGCGAGGCAACGAGAGAACAGGACAGCTCCTGGCTCGATGAGGCTGTTAGAATCCATTTGAAGATGAAAGRTGAAAAACGCCTTCTGCAGATGCCTCTTTGTGCTTACGTCCTATGATCGACCCCGCCTGTCTGTTTGAACAATGTGTGGTTGCTTTATAACCACAGCTTTGAAGATCAAGCCTATTACCACAGGTATAAAAGGGCTCCCTCGTCTCTAATACAAATATATTATCTCACAAAACACTGAGTTTACAATCACTGCCCATTTACGTGGTCTCYGTTTATCACTGTTTAATAGTTCCAAATATAAGGTTTTAGATTCACAAACCCACACGGTTGGCAAATTTTTACGTGTCATGTTCAAATGTTTTAGGCATTTATCCGAMATGGTAAACAGCTGAAGCCTTTTGTCTCATCAAGATCATGTTTTGCTACTTGGATATAGCCAGTTAGTCATAATACTGACTGAAGAAATTATTTGGCAGATTATTTCTGTGCTTTATCAGAATATCAAATAACAATAAGCTAACTGTCTAAAAGCCTGT